CTTCACTTAGCAGCTTGATTTATTCCAACTATTTAAAATACATTTAAAACTTCTCTTGATAAGCTGTCTTCTAAAATCTTTGCTTCTAGTTCCTTGAACCAGTTTGGCTTCCAACCTCTCAATTTGCTTCCTCTTAGAAATTTAATCTGTTGCCATTGAAGCATAAACTTGCCATTTTCTTCCAATAGTTGGCTTACTGTGAATAAGTTTAAACTCTTGCTTTCTATAAACTCATTCAATAGTTTGCTTTCTAGCATCTCACATATTTCTAAGCCCTCTATTTCTAGGTTGTTTGTATCTCTAAACGTTTCTTGAAATCTGAAGCTGAGTCTTGCTATATTATTGACTATATTATATGATAAATTATTTTTCATCCTGTTTACTTTAAACTTGCATCTTTCATCAAGCAGACTGAATTTCGACTTGCATTTCAGTTAAGCATCTTTTAGTCTAAGCTGCATTGTGATACCTATGCTCTCTTTTGATTTAGACATAATATAAGTTCAATGATATAATGTGCTATTTGGTTCTGCTAGATAGATCTTAAACTCAGCATACCTAAATGACTACATATACTGTTAGCAGCTGATTTTGCAAGTTCGATTTTGTTTTTGATTAGCAACCAAATTGGTCTCTGAATTTGGGCACATTTCGACTTTAAAAGAAAGGAGGTTTGTAATCTGTACTCAATACTAGGAAGCAGAACGATATTGTTCAAGTATATTAGTTGACTAGCTGATACCTTTTTGAATTTGATTGCTTTACACATCTTTGCTACTTCTTTTGTAATAATTTTAACATTGCATTTACTACTTCCTTTCTCTGAAATCCAAACTCCTAGATGTCTAATTGCTTCTGTACCTCTTTTTGCATAAACAAGATCACCGCTCTTGCCAACTCTTATTGCAAAATCAGCATTACTGTTGCTTCTAGTTTGCTTATAATTTAATACAAGAAGTTCAGATTTCTTCCCGTTAATTTCAATGTCATTTAAATCATAGAATTCATTTGATATTCTAATAATTTCTAAAAGTTCTTTTTTTGACTTTGCGATCCAAGTCGT